TTAGAGGAAAATAGGAATTGGACAAAGATTTTGAAATTTTAGATAATTATTTAGAACTAGAAGGGAAAATGTTTATGAAATATAGGACAAATCGAAACGGACTATGGTCCGTTCTTTAGCGAAATGGGTTGTAAAAGGTTAAAAAGAACTTATGTACTATAGAATTACATGTATGTTAGCAAAGATATCTTTGTTAATAAGGGGTTATGGGTAACAAACATCAGCTCGAAATGGGGTGTTAGAAAAACTATGAAATACTTTGAGCACTTGTATAAATAAAGGGAAGCAGATTCTATCAATCTAAATTAACTTTTTAATAAAATTAACCAGATAACTTATAAAAGCTGTCTTTGTGGCAACTCTCTCCTCAGCTTATTTGTGGCGGGTTTACTGGTTTTGGCTATCGTTATCTAGAGGTAATCGTCGACGATGTAATTTGCCCGGAGAGAATAAATGTCAATACAAAGTATGAATTTATGGGTAGAATAAATAAATATCTGAGCTGATATATAGAACAGAATAACACGAACCCCCGTTACAACTAAAGACAAAATTTAATCAACTATCAAAATAATAAAATTCCACAAGCAAATGATATGAACGTTACAATTCGAAAAATACACTTCTTTCTTTTTGAATCAACTTACTCAAGGAATTTCAAAATACAAATAAGATTAGATAAATAGCCGATCTGTTAACAACAATAGAATCAAATCATCATTTAACCGAGTGTGAGATCCAATAACACTGCCTTGTATCTATTTATGAACTGGTGTTTGATCCCGTCCAAAGTCCACTCAGACTGTTCCTCTTGACTCCCTTATGCTCGTAAGTCTGGGTCTTCCACTCTTTTTCTTCCCCTTTCCAAAATCTCTGATATCTCGCCTCCTTTTTGAGCCCTTCCAACTTTGTGTAGTCTTATTCTGGGTTGTAAATCGTGAGTCTTCCCTTAAGCTATCTCACCTTGTAAACATATAAACAAAAGCACCCTAAATCTTCCGTCACATTATACTGGCGATAAATCATTACTGCCACCCTTGAAGTCAGATGTAATTCTATCGGATTTAAACAGACATCGATGACTATCAACTCTAACTGGTCACGATAGACTATACAATCTAGTTTCACAAATTAATGGTCAGCTAATTGCCGTTTCCCACTACACCGAAATTATTTCCATACTAGTCTCATTACACGGAGAATGAATTAAATTCCTTAACTACGTTATTCAATAAATACGCACAATAAGGTCGTTATTATACGTGACCTCATCAGGTCGGAAAAGTCTCGTAATCTCCACATTCCAACAATTCGCCAATGTATATAAATCAATAATCATTGTGCGAATTCAGATAAATGAATTCAACACAGTTATTTATAGATACATAATTTCCTATATAGAATAAGCATGAAATTCTGGTTACGTAATTTCCTAAAATAATCGAGACTATAGCTTAAGCGAGCCGTCAATGTATATATAAAGATATTTATCATTGTGCGGACTCAGAAAAACGAACTCAACACAATTATACCATATCAAGAAAATTAATATAAGAACATAAATAAATCCCTGCAAATACATGCAAATACAAGCAATTAAATAAAACAAATCATCATAATAGTATCAACAAATTACATGAGATCAGTGCAAATACCTTGTGTTTTCAAGTTTTAATTGGTCTGTCAATTCTCCAGACAATCGTTCTCCCTTTGATGATTTTACGAGAAATATACCTATTAAATTCTCTGAGTCCCTTAAGTTCTTATGTTCGTTTCCTATTGTAGAAAAGCGTAGACTAAATTTTAGATCATATTAGCACAACTTAAACTGAGAGTTTTCGTGTGAAACCACGCCCCTTCCACAGCATGTCCAATCAGAATGAAATAAGCCTCGAAACACTGCAATTGTATGACAGCAACGGTTACCCAACTGTTCTTGGTAACTTTCAAATGTCAGTTTCCATTCAGATCAGAAGTTGCACTCAAGCATGGCAAGTTTAATCAAACGTAGTCTTTAATTAAATATCGACATCTCTTGACTTTGCCTGAACCAACCCGTACATTATGGCTATTTAAACGCGCCCAGGTCTCCATACATCTAATTAATTCTACATATGTCTAGCTAAATGTTTCCTACAGAGATCAACAACACAAAACAGAGATCAACCTAAAAATTCGATCCTTTATAGTCTTAAATAGGTCCTATGTCATATAAAGAAATATTTTTTTAAAAAAAAATTGTTTAAAGATGGCAGACAAAACAAACTGTTCAGATGGTTTTACTATTGTGATTAATCAAATATTTTTGGCTCTACCGGCCAGAAACCAGAAATGGAAAATCGTATTATTGCTCCTTCTCCTGAATGGAGGGCCATCATAACATAGGGATTTCACTCAAAGGCTTCTTATGATGTCTAGTTTGTTGTACTTGAAAATAGTACCGAACTGACATCCAGTTTTTCCGCCATGACATCAATCTAAGTAATCTTATCACTACTTTCCTCAATGGATGGCTATATACGGTTATTTGTGAAATCATTAAATATATTCCCGAAAAAATGGCTAACTCTCAAATATTCAAGATGGCGAAATACCCTAGATTACTTTTTTCAAAGAAATATAATTTACACATTTTGTTACAATTAAGTAGACTTCTCCAAAGATATAACGAAATCCTATTCTGGAAAGATGTATTTCATGCTTTGCCTAAATTTATAAATATTTCAAATGATATAAGTTTCTTGGTTGCCATACCTGACGGACCCTGGAGAAACGAACAATATTCTTATCGATGAGAACAATTCTGTACCTGTCTTGATTGTAAAAAGATATAGATGTATATATCACTTCTCGAGAGCATGACAAAGTGTGAGTTGTTCGATTTTTCACCGCCTTTAACCCTTTACTGTAATTTAATGTGTTGTAAAACATATCTAAAATATAACAACAGAAGCAAATTTATGTGCCTTTAAATACCAATAGTGTTAAAATTCTAATAAAGAATAAACAAATATGTTGAAATATATACGCTGTATATCATATCATTTTCAAACCAGAGCCTGCGGATAGAAGGAAAAAAAAAAACTTTAATTAGCGGTGAAGCCTAGACCGTAGACCTGTGCCATTTTATCTTTTGTCCCCCCCCCTCTATCTTTTTATTGGGGGGAACGTATACTTTGCAAAAGACTATTGACATAGCTTGTATTATCGTATGTAAATGTATATATCAGGTTTCCATACAGACATACATAGGCACACAAACGCACGCATACGTATAACTTAGGTGCATGACAATTATATGTATATACGAATGCTATCGCATCAAAATTACTGAATGATGTCTTGCTAAAATTATTTAAAAAAATAAATCTGTGACAATTTGCTCTCAGTTTGTGGCTGCAAATAAACAATTTCACGTGGTTAAAAAAAAAAAATCCAGGGCGCGATCAATTTGTCGTTTGACGTTTATTAGAAGATAGCTAAGCATCGTTTATAAATGGGGATGTTTTTGTACGCATGGAAATACTGGCAAATGCCTATTGATCAGCTATTTTTCCTGACAACTAGGTCGTGATGAAAGTACGGACGATAAGTACGGGTGACTCATCCTTTTTGTTGAATGCTGGTCTGCTCATTAACCACAGCCTCTGACGCAAACCACGTATACAGACTAGTTTGCATGTTTGTAACGGTAGTAATTGGTCGATTCCCTCAAGAGAAGCGAAACGTTTCCAGCAATATATATGCTAGTAGTAATATATATATATATATATATATATATATATATATATATATATATATATATATATATATATATATATATATATATATATATATATGTATGTATGTATGTATGTATGTATGTATGTATGTATGTATGTATGTATGTATGTATGTATGTATGTATGTATGTATGTATGTATGTATGTATGTATGTATGTATGTATGTATGTATGTGTGTGTGTGTGTGTGTGTGTGTGTGTGTGTGTGTTTCACGTGTCACCTGCTGCACTTGATAAGGATCGAAATGGAGGATGTACATGATCAGTTAGTTTGCCTATTCGTTTGCTTAAACTTTGCATTGAAAACGTTTTTTTTTTTTTTAAATAAAATAAAACCGTATTTATGATTGCACGAATATAAGGACAAGGGGGTGGGAGAAAGACATCCATTACGGAATTCACTTCTAAACATCTTTTGGCCTACATCCGTAAAACTACATGTTTGTCTCCACCCTCAAAAAAAATGTCTAAGGGCGTCCCTGTATTTATTTTTAATTTGATTAAGCACCAAATATGGTACGAAGGATACTGATACAACGACCTTAAAAAGTATGCAAATTAGAATGATCGTTTCTGAAGAATAAAATAAATTAATCTTCTAAAAATGTGCCAAGCATAATTCGACCAAACCGGATAAAATACATCCCAGTAAAAAGACTTTTTGAGCTTTAACTTTCTGCAAATTGTGCCGATCCTTAATAAAAATTTGGCCACGGTATTAAAACAAAATAAACTGAATTTGTATAGAAAACTACGCTCTAGACCACATGTTTCTCACATGAAGGTGTTAAATTTGGCATGTTTATTCTCATTGAAATTAAAATTTGAAAACCTTTAAAAGACTTGAAACCTGGTCCAGAGAAATTGATCAAATGTCACAGAAAGCATTATGGCATCCAGCCTTTCACATGTTGAAAAAAGAATATCGATCTGCCATACCAACATGGCTACCGTTACTGCAAAATGATAATATGATGTGATGTGATTATGATTTTTAACATATCTTTAAAAAACATTTCAGTCATTTCGCTGCGATGTCTGCAGTGTGGTAGTTGGTAGTGATGTCTATCTCTGGGGCATCATGCCACAGACATGAAACATGATTTCCCACCCAGTCATATTATCCTGACACCAGGCCGATCAGTCCTTACACTAACCTCCTAATGCTGAGCGTCAAGCGAGGCAGCTGTTTGTACCAATTTTTTTAAGTCTTTGGTATGACTCGACCGGGAATCGAACCCACGATCTTCTGCATTTGAGACAGACGTTCTAACCACTAGGCCACCGGAGCGGTTCCGAATAGTAACTGCATTCTATATAACACAAAATGTTATCAAAACATCATTAACTACTGTAAAATACAAATGAAAATTATCATTTATTGGAAATATTTGGACCCCTACCAAAACGTAATAGGATGGGAATATATACAGAATGGAGATAGACAGGTTGGTGAAATGCATACTAATGAATTTATTTGTTATACAATTTGTTGAATTAAAGTTCTTCCTTTTAATGAGACGGAAATATTTACTTATAAATATTGCATGTGATACATAATTTACACAGTTGATGAGTATTAACCATTCATTTTTTTTGACTGCTTGCTTTGTTTTGAAACGATTTTTGCCAATGTAAAATCTTAAAACGCGTACACGAATATAAAATGTATCACCTCTGGATTCGTCATTGAAAGTACTGGCATTTGTTATTAAAAATTAACCTGGTTCATTGATGCCCATATTGCAAATATTTATAGAAAACAACAGTAACGTCTCCGTTCAATTCTTTTATGCTTTTAAACAAAATGCAAAATGGAAGTAAACAGTTACAATGGATGAACAGTTTGAAAAACGAAGTTTTTAAAATAATATTTTCAATGAACTTCTTTTCCAAACGAATTTCAGTCACGAATACTGACATGTTTTGTATAAAGGCGTGTAGCTTGTTTAAAAAGAATTCAAAGGGACCAGAAAAATTTGTTCGAATCAAATAGAATTTTGAAATTTGTGGCAAGCAGATGAAATACTTGTATATATTGATAAATAGGACAATATCTTTCTCCCACTAATTTATTTCACCAATATTTACCTCTTTCGTATGGAAAAGTGGAACTGGTTTAAAATGAAATCAAAAGAACAAGTATATTTTGTTCCAAATAAACCAAATTTAGTCGCAAGCAGAATGACATTCTTGTAATATATATCAAAACTGGGATAAGTTCTTAAATAAATCCGAAATTACGTTGTTTTATTTTTCGTAGTTACAAAACTTTTCCACGAGAAGAACTGAATTCAAGCTTCAAAAAACTCGAACATTCCCAATCATACTTAGAGAGTATGTAAATTTTTACTCAAATTTGAAATATGTATATACATACAAAGAATAAGGTATTTAAACTTAAATTTAACTTAAAAAAAAACGCGATCTTTTTAACAGTTAAGCACAAATTCAGTTGTTGTACTGAGAAAGTTTCGCGACTAAGGTGCCAGGGGCTCCTATGTGCATTAAAATGTTTGTGTATCCTATTGGAATAAATGTGATTGATTAAACTAAACATATAGTACGAGAGCGTTGGTCTTGGTACAAAGAAAATAATAATGATGCATGCAGAGTACAACACTACGTTATCAATTTTCCCCTAATCGCCTCTTTTGATCTTTGTCTTAACTACATTTTGCATGTTTTATCTGCAACCAAACTAGCAATTATTTTTTTCCACATGACATAAAAGCCGTGGACTAAGAGGCAGACTTTACTTTTCTTCCATCCTTCTGGGTGGTCCAATATTTTGTATACTCAAACAGGCGGGTGATTCGCCAACTGCACAAAGCAGACAAATAGACGGTCAGTACAGAGACGAACGAAGGTAATAATTCAAGCTGACTTCTTCACGTGGGTGGTCTGAAAAATGGCACATATTGCAGTACCCTTTGAGAATAGATACTTTATTACAGATACCATGTCGTTTTCATTTAGTTACTGAACTTTGTTGGAGCTACATTTTATAATTACTTAAAAAATACAAAGTTTGATGTTGCATATTATAACCCCGCCCCTCAACCTAAAAAAAAAAAAAACAAGAACAAAAAACTGGCCGCACAAACTTCGGATGATCTGTGTGCAAGAGAAGCTTTAACTCTTTCATGGTAGAGTCTGATCTTGCTTAGACGTGTGATATTTTTTAATGCCGGGTAAAGTGAACTATTGGAATTGCAAAGCTTTATTCTTTTATTTTTATTTTTTTAAAAAAGGCTTTTTCGTTTGCTTCTTGTTTTTTTTGGGGGGGGAGTTGTTGTTTTGTTTTTTTGGTGTGAGGGTGGGGTGTATTTTTTAAAACAAATTCCTTTTGCAGGTATTTCGGCACTAATTCATTCTGTTTTATCATTGAACAGTCAGGTTAAATGCTGAATGAATTCATACGAATGCTGGAACATTCAAGAAAAATTTTGACTCGCAGACTTTGTCTTTTATTTTGTGTCCCTGCCCAAATAAAAATTGATGAAACGCGCATAATATCTGTATATATGTGTGTGATATTTGGATTTTTAACGTAGCTTTTAACAATTTTTCAGTCATATCACTACTATATCTGCAGTGTGGCAGTTAATAGTGATGTACATGCCACAAACATTTTAACAATACGTCCCAGCCAATCGCATTATCCTGACACCAGGCCGACCAGTCCTAACACTAACACTGAGCGTCTAGTGAGATAGCTAGCTGTTGGTGCCATTTTTGTCTTTAGTATGACTTGGCCAGTGACATCCTGCTCTAATGACTGGACCACCGAAAAGGTCTCATAATCTCTGTGAAATGCATTTGTCAGGTTTTCTGGTGAGACAATACAAATTAATTTAATTAATCTAAAAAATTAGTACTTTATTGGGCAAATAACCTATTATAACTGATGAGAAGCGGACTCCTGGATAAAAGTAAACCGATTGAGTCCAATCCACGGTCACTTAACGCAAAACTAATAAGAGGCGGAAGCGAAGTTATCGCACGGCGCCAAGCGGATCCATTTCTTGTCAAGAAAATCTAGAATTAAGGTCATATATGGCAGGCAGCAACACGCTAAAATAGTTGGAGTAACTATCCAATCGTTATTTAAAGCGGGCGACATGTACGTGCGTGCGTGCGTGTGTGTGTGTGTGTGTGTGTGTGTGTGTGTGTGTGTGTGTGTGTGCAGTGATAAGTTTATATAGATGACAGATAGTCCGAGAAATCAGCCGCCAAACATTTGGCATGATAATAATTATGCACTAAACTTGTGGCGTTTCTTGACATCAGACAAAAGGACTTCCTGCATGTAAGCGACGTTTATTGACGTGGTGCAAAGTGGCCTTTACACTTCCGAGAAAAGATATGGGAATTTCCCATCTGATTTAAATCATGGTACTAAATGAATGAGACATGACAATGCTATTGAGCAACTGCAGACATGCGAATTTTCCCGCCAGCACAGTGGGCGGCATGGCTTATATTCCCTGACGTGTGGCAACTGGCAATGAAATTGTCAAATTGACTTGCACTTGCACTTCGTTTAGATAAATGATACCAGTAAGGATGAGGTCATCAATGTGAGATGCCTACCACAAGTGCCAAGATAAGACAAGACAATACTTTCTTATACTCTGGTTGTAAATTTTACAACATATTAGAAATGTAAGAAAAAGAACTTAAATATAGTGTGAGATGTCATAACATAGTACTTAACAGGGATTCAAAAATTCGGGGGAAAAAACACAATATAAGACCCTGTAAATATTTTGAAAGAGTCTTATGATTCTTGTGTTCATTAGTTAATTATAAATGTTAGTCCTGGAAATGTGAACATGACGTTTAAATTTTGTCTCTCGTCATCGAAATAAGAACAGGACAGAAGACGATATTAATCTATTTCTTGCGACAGAGTGTACAGAATCTTTTGTAATAGGAATCTTAAGCCCATCTGCCATTTTTTTAAAACAGGAATTTGCAGTTTTATGCTTAATGAAGTTTAATTTTATTATTATGATAATGATAGCACTATCTAAAGATTTTTTTTAAACTGAAAACTAGACTTAAACTGTCATCAAGACATTTATGACATTGTGATGTTTGCATTCTAGCCATGATTGAAATAGTGGTGTAGCCAAGTGAAAAAGAAAATACTTTACAGGAAAACAGACTTTATATAAACAAAGAAAAAAAAGGATGACAGAAATTTATGACAATTAATGCGATCCCTACGAAATATTTTTAAAATTATTTAAATCCGACATTTACCGATTTTCCTGATTTGGTAATAAAATCTGAATATCTTATAACATATTTTATTCAATTAAGCCTATAGAATTTATTTTGTTTTCATTTTAATCACTTTTCTTTATCGACATCTGACGTTTCAACCTACCGAATGTTAGATTAGTATTCTTAAATAGCACGTTAAGATTGCAACCTTTGATTTATTGTGCTTTTCTTCTTTCCAGAATAATCAAGGAAATTGGTCAACATATTGAGGTCATTATATCAAGCCAGACAAAATAGCATGTCATATATTCGGAAATCTCAATAGATCTATAATTTGACTGAGATTCCATCAGTCACACATGTCTGAGTAACCATTTTTGGAAGCGAAGACACTGCAAATTTTTCAAAAAGGCAAAATCCGTGATGTATAATTAGTTGAATAAGGATGGAAGAATAACGATGTCGACACGAAAGGATTATAATGTCATAGCAATTTGTCACAATGACACCACTGTATCTATCTCTACTTCTGAGATTACATATAGTTTTTATACTACCACATTTAAGGTAGCTGTTTAGTTAGGTTACGTGGTGATTGGGTTGGTTATCGTTATCTAGAGAATGATCGACCACGTTGTTATTGCCCGGACCGAGTAAATAATAAAAATATAAAATTAATGGATGAAATAATACAGAGATCTGAGTAGAGATATAGAACAGAACAAAACGAGCCTCCTTATATAAAATAAAATAGTTTAATAAGTTACAATAAACAAACAGAAATACACTTGAAGGATATAGTTATATTAGCAAATAATTAACAAATAATGATTAAAAAATGCAACTGCCGATATGACAAATTTCATTACAAAACCGAGTGAGCAATCAAACTCAATTGTCCAGTACCCCTGCATAACCTGGTTGCTTGCCAGTCACTCCATATTCGAGGTTTGTGACAGGTTAGAGTCCATACCATGTACCTCTCTCTCTCTCTCTCTCTCTCTCTCTCTCTCTCTCTCTCTCTCTCTCTCTCTCTCTCTCTCTCTCTCTCTCTCT